GTTTATTAAAGATAGTGCCAAGCTAGAGTTGCGACAAAAAGTTCAACAGTACTTTGAGGCTGTGCCGTAGTTTACGTTTAAGAAAAATATGTCGGGCAGATTATTCAATTCACTTACGAGTGAATTTAATTAATTGGGGTTGAAATTCACGCTGAAGTGAATTGCAGAACCTGTCTGTGTATGTTTGTAGATAAATATGTATTTATATAACATATATAAGAAATACAAAAATAAATGTTTTTACAGATACAAGTTTAATGTTAACCGTTAGATTCGCGGTACGTAGGACCGGATATTAATCTTCAATTATGCAACAACAAAATGTAGTGATCACAAACGGAAGAAACTGTTCATGAATGCATTGTCCACAAGTCCCACCAGTGTTGCTATATTAACCCATTTCCACCTTCAAATTCGATAACATCTATCGACTGCGTGATCCGTTCGGTTTGCCGTTTCTATTGTTTTACTTTGCATTGTTTTAATATGCGCATATTTATATTTAAGTTTATTAGCTAGAAAAGGCCATTCACTTGTTGAAATTCTAATCGCCAGTATCACAATGCAATCGCTTCTTAGCACAGCTAAATTTTTGGGTAAGTAATACCAGAAACTTTTATATGCATTATTTTCTGTCGATTGAACTTTGATTTCTCATATCTCGTATGTTTCCATACCAAAAGGGCGTTCTGGCACCTTGAAAAATCAGGCTTTTCGGCGAATCGCCTGTTTAGCCGCATTGCCAGAAACTCATCAGATGCTCCAGAAGACATGTAGAGATTTCGCTGATTCTGAATTAGTACCACATGCAGCAAAACATGATCGTGAACACTTGTACCCGGAGAAGCAAATACAAAAAATGGGTGAACTTGGGCTAATGGCTATAGCGATCCCTGAAGAATATGGTTATTAGAAAATTTAATTATTTCGAATTTATTTTTGGTTTATATTCGATACCTATTTTCCATTAGGTGGTGCCGGTTTGGACTATTTGGCATATAGCATTGCGATTGAGGAAATATCACGAGGCTGCGCATCTGCTGGGGTCATAATGTCTGTGAATAACTCACTTTATTTAGGACCCATCAATCATTACGGGACGCAACAGCAAAAAGAAAATTGGATCGTACATTACACTACTGGTGAAAAGGTCGGTTGCTTTGCATTATCCGAACCCGGCAATGGCTCTGATGCAGGTGCTGCTTCTACTACCGCAGTTGAAAAGAACGATCGCTACATATTAAATGGCACTAAAATGTGGATTACAAATGGCTTTGAAGCAGGCGCTGCTGTAGTTTTTGCAACAACCGACAAGTCATTGAAACACAAAGGTATATCCGCTTTTCTCGTACCCAAGGGTATTAGCGGCTATACTATAGGGAAAAAAGAAGACAAATTAGGAATTCGAGCTAGCTCCACATGTCAGCTAATATTTGAAGACTGTGAAATTCCAAAAGAAAATATTTTGGGTAAACCCGGTAATGGTTTTAAAATTGCTATGCAAACATTGGACGCAGGACGTATTGGAATTGCCAGCCAAGCGTTGGGCATTGCGCAAGCTTCATTAGAACTGGCCGCAGATTATGCGCAGAAACGTACCGCATTTGGCAAGCCTATTGCTAAATATCAAACTATACAGCAAAAGCTGGCTGACATGGCATTAAGAGTGGAATCAGCTCGTTTGCTCACATGGCGTTCTTGTTGGTTGAAGGACAATGGAAAATCGTACACAAAAGAAGCTGCAATGGCTAAGTTAGCAGCTTCCGAGACGGCCACATATTGCGCTCATCAGTGCATTCAAGTGTTGGGTGGTATGGGCTATGTTACTGATATGGCAGGCGAACGTTACTATCGGGATGCGCGTATTACAGAGATATACGAAGGCACGTCCGAAATACAACGTCTTGTCATCGCCGGTCATGTGCTGAAAGAACTGTCTGCATAATTTTTAATATCGTCTCATTAGTACCTACATATATTTAAATTCATTAATATACATACTTTGTTTTAAAATTTATACACAAAAATTTACATGATTAATATTTTTAAGGCAATTTTTGGATGAATCGATTAGGCGGTAGTCAGTTTAAGATATCGATGGTCCTATGCAATAACGGCACAACTCAAAATTAAAAAAAAACAGTACCCTTACTTCTGTTAAGTTCTTACGGCTCTAATCCTAAGTAAGTAGTAAGGATTCTTAAGTAAGTCGTAAAGATTAGACATGTATTAGACAAGGATTAGAGACATGAGACACCTAACAGTAGTAAGGATTTTTTTTAATTTTGGGTTGTGCGATTATTGCAGAGAACCACGGATATGTAGTTGATAAGGATTTTCCACTTTTTTATGTTACATAATTTGTATTTGAAAACACCTAAATAAAAACAATATACACTGCCGGCAAAATGTATTGGCACAGGGAATTTATTACAATATATGCAACAATTCTTATTTCAATTTTTTTCCGATAAATTTTTTGTAAAACAATGGTTCATTCTACAACAAAAACATACAAATATGATTTCTTAACTATGTGCAAAACTCTAGAAAATTCAATAAATTCGATTGCAAATTTTTAACTTTTTAATCAGATTTTTTAGAATTTTTTGAGTATGCAGATTTGTGCCCAATAAATTTTTTTTAAATAAAGGGCAAGTTTGAAGTAGGGGACTTACCCTTTGGCGGTTTTTTGTACGCAGTTTTTTCATTAAAAAAAAATTCGTAAATATTATGTATGGAAAAAATGTAAAACACCTTCAACAAAAAAATTTTCTCAAAAATCAACGCGAGTTTTGCCTAACTTCAAACTTGCATTTGTTATAATAGAGTTTAATGTGCTACAAAAGAGCTTACTCAAGAAAATTCCAAAATATCGGATTAAAAAGTTTCAAATTTGTATTCACATTTATTGAAATTTATAAAAAATATTCTACCTTATCCTGAGTTTCGCCTGAAAAAAAGTTCACCCGAAAATTTATCATCCGCCCATAGTAAAACCGTGGAAACCAAGAGTGAAAAGTGAACCGGTTCGGTGAAAATGAAACTCACGCTAAGACTGATAATGTTTCGTTTTATAGAATGAACCACATCTTTATAGAAATTAACGGAAACTATTAGAACAAAAATTTTCGCGTATATTGTGAAAAAATTTCTGTGTCAGTACTTATTTCCGGCAGTGTATCTATAAAAGGGAATCCTATATGAAAATTTAAAGATCTGCGCTTTTATTTGGCAACAAAATAGTTCGAAACCAAGAAATTCGATTTTTTTGTTTGGTTTTGTAGAATACACCATATTATAAAAAGTTAACGGAAAAATATCAGAATAAAATTGAAATCCTAAATAAAAATTTTAAAATCTGCGATGTTATTTGGCAACAAAATAGTTCGGAACTACATACACTTTTTAGCAACACTGCCCATTGCAACGGAACCCCAATGTAGTAGAGACAAAATTAAATTTTAGCTGAAGGCAAAATGGAATAATTGTGCGTCGTCGTGTTTATGTGGTAATTTTGTAAAAAAAAAGTAATAAAAGGTGAATATTTATGTGGTTAGATAATCATACTTGGTAGCATATAGAAAAAACGACAAAAGGTGACATAAATAGTTAAAATTAATTGGGGGAAAAATGTCTTCATAAACTGCATTACGAAGCAACGATAAAAGAAAAATTCCGAAAGCGAAATGGTGAAGAAGAATACAAGTAGTTGCCAGGCTAATTTCTATTATTAAGAATGTTACCCTACGAGAAATCTTACTGGCAAATGGCCGGTCACCTGACGGTCAGTGCTGATGCATCATGAACCAAAATACAAGATCACGCCTTCTTCTTAGTAGCCCGTTATAATCGCATTTAGGAAAAAAGTGTAACGATTTTAACATTAGCCGTTTGTATACATTTCTTCGTTGTATACAATTTGGTGGTGGCTTTTTACTGCAAGTTTCTTAATTTTCGCTTGTGAAAACGTGTGCACACATAAGGTAAAGAATAATTTAACGCAACATGATTTATAGAAGAATTTGCATAATAAAAATGATTATTCATGCGTTCAGCAATTACGCGGTTTTTTTTTGTTCTCTTCTTGCATAAGAGCCGTTTGCACCATGTCTAGTTAATTCTAACTCCCAGTTAAACATCTTTATCGACGTTATCGACACCCATCATATAACATTTGATCGATAAAGCAGTTAACGTGCTTAACTGAAGGATGTACCTCCAGTTAGCGTTAACTAGACATGGTGCAAACGGCCCTAAGTGTGTTATATTATAACATGGAGTCGGTAACGTCGATAACGATGTTTTAGCGGAGATTAGTGTTAACCAGACATTGAGTAACCGGCCCTTATTGTATTTCCTAAGGTTATTTTTACAAATGTTTTTCTGTGTATTGGTGTAAATTTTAGTGTGTTAGTGAAGAGGTCAGAAAAATAAGTCCTTTCCTTATAGGGGCTGTAATACGTAGGGCCTGTTCGAGGCATGTAATAAATACTGCAATACTGCTGCACTGCTGAAAATTTGCAATACTGTTGCAACTTTCCAACTGATAAAATGTTGCTAGAAATTCACACGAAACGTGATACTTGTAACAATGCGCGCAACACTGCGATTGTGATTGCATCTCTTCATTGTCTTGACTGCATTGTCCAATGTAAACGCGCCGTAAGCCAATTAGATAGAAATCTGAATAAATCTGGTCAGTCTGTTTTTTAAAAACCATTGTAGCGAATCAGGAAGAAGCAAAGCATAATAAAACCATGTAAAAGCAAATTCAAAAAATACACACACGAGAAAAAGGTAAGCAAAGCAATAGATTAAAGATGAGAAGGAAAAACTACGAATAGTTTTATATACACGGCAGTGCATTGAAGTGTAAACGAAGTTGTTAAGCACGGAATGTGTGTTAATTTAAAGGTGTAAGGGCGAAGAAATCCAATAAGAAATTAATATAGAAATTATTAAATATCTGAAGCGAAAGAAACTCAAGAGTTTTCAACGTTTACGTCGTATTCGTATGAGTATTTTTACGTTGGTATCCATCGTTTTTTTCTTCTGTTTTTGGTGATTTAACAAAGCTGCTGGCACTATTGGAGAAAAGTGTATGTGAAAATTTGGAAAGGTGAGTATGTGCTACAATTGCATCCAAAGCATGAAAATTATATTTGTTCCCGCTGTTTATACTGTCCGATTTTCTTCGGGATACCTACTATGTAAGTATTTTGTTCACTAGAGCTAGGATATAATATTAAAACAAAAAGCAGAATGAAGAGATATGTTTAGATTGATTAGTTAAATAAATTCGAGGAAACTTTCTTTTACGGCCGATCTTCGTTTGCGTTGTGGGCGGAGGGGAGGGAGCGTTGCACGCCTCATACCCCATTGCAGGGAGGGCATAACTGCCGTTTTGAAAAATGTAACACTCGGCTGCTTAGGCTCCTTATAGGTCCCTAGAAAGTATTTACAAAAATTGGCAAAAATCACGATTTTTACTCGCGTTTTCGCTTGTTTCGTGTTGACGACTTGAGCCTTTCCGTGTTGCCGGACAAGAGGGGCCGCCAAGGGTATGTAACATTTCTTGTGCACAAGGCAGAAGACCCCAGGTCCAGAGGCTTCTATTGAAAAAGTTCATTCTGCGTAGGCGGTCTTTGGGCGCGATTAGGGATTTTAACCCTTACTAAGGAGAATTCTCCTTTCTGTGTTGGCGGCCTTCGCCCGCGCTTAGGGATTATAACATTTACTAAGTAGGATTCTCAGGTCGGCTTTCCAAAACGGAACCATTTGAGATTTCAGCGAAAATAAGGAGTTTCGTCATGAAACTTGATGAGGATGTTGGGCGAGGCCTTTATCTGAATTGGTTACTATCACATTGTAGTTACTAATAGAAGTGGGAAATGTTTAGTTATTGGCCCATCGTTTTTGGGGTGGGGGGCGGAGGGGGAGGGGCGTGGCCCCCAAAACCCTCCTCATTCGAAAGGGGACAGTCGCCACTTTTCGAAATCACGAATTTTTTGTGTGATGTATGTACTGTATTTCGATGGCTGAGTGGAAGATCGACCTATCTCGGCTGCCAGTTCGAAAACGTTCTATTTCAAAAAACTTTTCAAGAACGCCCTATTTCAGAATTTTATTGAAAAACACCTTATCTCAAAATTCGGTTCAAAAACGCCCTATCGCACTTCAAAATCTATTGAAAATATGCTGATATAGGGCGTTTTTGAATCGTCAGCTGAGATAGAGCGTTTTTGAAACGAATTTTGAAATAGGACGTTCTTGAAAAGTTGTTTCAGATAGAATGTTTTCGAACTGGCTGCCGAGATGGTCGATCTTCCACTCAGCCATCGATTTGCAGTGTTCACGTGCCTATATTGTCCTTTTAATATATGTATATGTAAACAGCTGTTCTTGGAAATCGTGAATATCGTGAAGCATCTGGAACGCAACTTATATATATATTTCTTTTTGAACTAACACCGGCTACACACGACGAACATGTGAGCGGCTCATATGTGATTTTGTCGTGATAGCGTAAAGATGGGTAGCAAAGACGCGGATGATCAAGTTCAAATGCTTATGACTTAGGTTTTTTTATTTATGTGTTACTTAAATTTATTTATATTTCACTTCTATGTATGTACATATGTACATACATATACATATAGTAATTTAATCTCATTTATCACAAATTCAATATCGTACATGGCTTAGCTGCACTTATCCGCCGATGTGCACACTGCAAGCATCAACAAAAAATGAGGGTTTTGTTTTTGTTTCCAATGCGATGCTCGCAAACCACGCTACAAACGACGAGCATGCTCGTTGAAAAACAAAATTTTTGATTTGTTGCGAGCTTGCTCGTGAACCGCCCTACAAACGACGAGCATGCACCTCACGCCGAGAATGTGCGCGCACATGCTCGTCGTGTGTAGCCACTGTAAACAATGGTCAGAAGTAGGGCTCGGAATCTCATGCAAATGAATGTTTTTATTGGGCATCTTCAAATGGAAATGGTTGAGTTATCTATACGAATCATGAAATTTCCTTTAAAATGGCATTCAGTCGTTAGTGCATATTTTTTGCATATTTCGCATATTTTAGTATATTTTAAAATAAATGCATGTGGTTTTTGCATATTTTAGATTTACAACCATTTAAATTTAGGGTATTATTTTTCATTTATTTTCATTATTTTATCATACATTACATTATAAAAATGTCGGCCCCTCGGCAACACTGAAGTTTATGAGGTCGTTTACGCATCAAATTTCGCTCGTTAACTGCACGTCTATACCTGCTATGGGCGCTCGCTTTACACCTATGTAAAATTTAAAGTGCGCAATATCTTGAGTTTTTTTTAATTTTTATTAGGGGTCTTCATCCAAAGTGATAAAGATATAAATTGCTTAAATTTATCAGTTTATCCGCATTCTTTCATGAACGCTCCTTGGTAAATAATTACACAAAATTGTTTTATAATTTAACTTTTCTGGCTAGTTACGATTCATTCTTAGCTTGTCCATTATGCTTATTTGCTTTTTATGTGATATGATAAATTTACCAGTTTATCAAGTTTATCAACAGTTTATCACTTTTGATGAAGACCCCTATTATTTTAGTTTCGTTGCTTTTTAGGAATTGCCTTTTGTTAAATTGGTACTCGAGAAGGCCTCGAAGTCGTCAGCCAATGACGCTCCCGAAAGCCAGGATGCCATAGCGGCTTTGGTTTTTTTTTTGTTTCCGCACGCGGCATACTTAAAGCCCGAAAAATCTCACAACTCAAACTAAAGTTGTAATCACTCACCTGACCTTTTGCTTCTATCACCCAATATGGTGCTCAAGTCATTTCCTCAGAAAAAGACGAAAGTTTTTTATATGCAAAGACGCCAGTCGTGAAGCACTGAGCTCCAAAAGTGTACATCTTGAAAATTGCTGTACTTTTACAGATTTGATGTTCACTGAATAAGGAAGGGTGATGTGATTTTACACTACACATGTGCTATTGCTACTATGCGCCAAACGCGTCCACCACCACTCACAGTTTTGAGGGGAATATGCATATGCATTTTTTGAATCATATTCGTGCACTTGTGTATGCAGTTAATCAAAATTAAAGTAGGGCGGGGATGGTGACATATATCGCACGTTTAATAATATAGAGATGTAAATCGAAATTTACATTAAAGGTTTCATGATACAATCAATAAGCTTGATAAGAA